CGGAAGCAGCGCGGCGGCGGCGGCGCTATGGCGGCGGTGGCGGCAGCGCCGGCCCGTGCCCGCGGAGCCGGCCCGGTGTGGCGGCTGCGCCTGCTGTGCCAGCGCTACCAGGAGTACGTGAGGCGGCACCCGGCCGCCACGGCCCAGCTGGAGGGCACCGTGCGGGGGCTGTCCTACCTGCTGCCAGGTGCGGGAGCGGCGAGGCGGGCGGACCTTCGCCCCTCTGGCCGGGGTCTGGGCCGGGGGGCTGCGGGCACCGGGAACCAGCGGGGAGCGGGGCTCCTCCTGCGCCGGACGCTCTCTGTAGCCGCTCTCCTCTCTTCGCAGGTCGCTTCTCGGACTCRCACGCGCTGTCGGAGCTGGGTAGGTGGGCAGAGGGACCGGGGCAGGTGCTGTGCCCTTGCCCGGGTGCATGCGGGTCCATTTCTCGGGCCCTGCTTTTGTCCATGGCTGCCTGTATCCTCCGGTAGCTCTTGGGAGGAGTATGCACGTCTTGCTGCCCTCCTTCCCTTGTCGCCTGCCGGGGACAGAGGTAGCAGGGCCGGTTTGGCTTGCCTTCTGTGCATCCATTCTGCGGTGTTCTCTTGCAGTGTACTCTGCCTCCAATCTCCTAGTGCTATTAAACGACTGGATTCTCCGAAAGGACCTGCAGCAAAGCTTGCCGGTGGTAAGGCTGGAGTGTGTGGGAGGAGGATTTGGGATACATGCTTTCCTTCTTGCAGGAGCTATCAGTGAGTGTAGAAATTTGACAGGTCTTTGCTGTGGCCTCTCTTCGTGGTCAGATGTGGAGAAGCCAGAGGCAACCTCTGAATACAAGTAAAGCAGCAGCCTTGCCCTGTGGCTTCTGGCTTGGAGCTGTGGCCAGAGCACTCCCTGGACCACAGAAATCAGGCCTTGACTTGCATCAGAAGCTCTCCTGGCTTTTTAAGAAGCTTGGAACTTGAGCTAGGTAGAGATGTTGATGAACAAACCATTGCTGTTTACATAGCAGTGGTTCTGGAGAACTAAAGTTCTGATCCCATCCCTCAGACTCTTTCTTTGCATGTTCTATTGAGCAAAACAAATATAAGCACCTTGCTACGATGTCTTTCTTGCATGAGCCCCAGGCTGGCTCCCAGCATTGTTKGGCCCTTTGGGGAATAGGAAGGAAGGTGTTTTTTTCCAGACAAACCTTTGCTGTTCCAAGCTTCCCCAGTGTGTCAGTTGAGTATAGGCTGCTACGTGAATGGAGCATCAGGCGTGTAACAAACAAATGCAGAAGACTTGCTTCCCTGGTGGTTGAAGAGAATTTCARTTGTGTTGTCTTTATTGATGGTTTTCAGTGAGTTAAACCCTGCAGCGGACAGCAGTAGTAAGTTCCCATGTGAAGAGCAGGGACCTAGACTAGAAGAGCACCCACGTCTTGGGGTCATGCCTGAAATCTGGACTGATGCTGTGTTCAGCAGACATTCACTCTGGTGTGCCTGTGGACTCTGGGTCCCCTTCCCTCTCCCTGTACTCCAAGCACACTCCCTCATCAGCTCTAATCAGAAAGGAGGTTGTCTTGTGTCTCAGCTCTGGGATGAAGAGGAGGGGAGTGCTTTGTTGTGGAGCTTAGGCACAGTGCCACAACCCAGGAGACTATCCTGCTGTGCCAGTTGAGGTAGAGGCAATACAAGACACAGATGTGATGTTTTCCCTCATTTCTGGAATAGTRACCCCGTGGAATATCACCACAGAGATACTGTGATGTCTGTCTGCCCCTGCTTGGAGGTAGATAAGAGGGCTTGTGCATAGCCTCCTGCTGCAGTGAAGACACTGCTTCTTATTTCTGGAGCTGTGATTTTTAAGGCCGTCTCGCACTTCTTTCTGAGGGTTCCACCAGACTGGGCTGTGTTTCTGCCCTCTTTAACTCCTGAGCAGAACCTGCATCCTGTCCCACTCCTCCCCTCTGTGTTTTGCAGTCGCTGCCCCAGCAGAAGCTGCTGACCTGGCTGAGTGTGCTAGAATGCGTGGAGGTCTTTGCAGAGATGGGGACAGCCAGGGTGTGGGGGGAGATGGGCCGGTGGACCATCATTGTCCTCATCCAGCTGGCTAAGTAAGTGCTGTGGGCAGAGGGGAAGGGGCAGCGTGCGCTCGGAAACGGGACCTGGAGGACACTCCATAGTGCCTCAGACAAAATCCCACTTGGAACTGAGCTGCCAGTCCCTGAGGCTGGGGGAATTTGAAGCCCCACAATGTACTGGATGCTGTGCCATAGAAGGGTGCACTTAGAATTCTCATCTTGCCAGTTGCTCTGAGGAGATCTGAGTGTTTTCCTCTTTTGTGGAAGCCATCTCTCCAGTGCAACAGGATCCCAGCTCCATAGTCTGGTATTAAARACTTCCACGTGTCTGTTCACAGAGCCATCCTTCGCCTCCTGCTCCTGCTGTGGTACAAAGCTGGCATCCAGATGTCTCCTCCCATTGTGCCACTGAACAGGGAGAAGCAACAGCCTCTCCACCCTCAAGGTGAGCCCATGATGTTGTCATCATTGGCTTGGTGCCTTGCTGAGCCACATGTCTTGTCCTGCTGGAATWACTTATCAGAGCAGGGGCTTGTGCAGCACATGGATCTGTAAGGTGTCAGTGCTCAAGGCTGAGCTGTGTTGAAGTTTCCACTGTTTGCAGAGGACGAGTTGGCTTAGTGGCAGGGTTGTCTTACAGTCTGGAAGGAAGAGATGGAGAAGTTTAAGCCAGGAACTTCTGGCTGAACTGTGAGTCAGGCTGCATGTGCACTGCTCTGATGATGAGGAAAGAGGCCCTAGACCTGGGCAATGTCAGGTGGATTTATCTTTCCATCCTCTGCTTACTGTTAGCCTGGGCAGGATGGTCCAGTTTGCACTCAATCAGCCTTTTAGTCTGYTCTTCTTAGTGGCAGCATAGGGGAGAGTGCTGCCAGCTCTGGSGTGTGAAGCATGTTGCTTTGAAGCCTGACCCCTGTGGGTGTTTTCTTCTGCAGGCATGGAAGACAACTCCTCAGGGAAGGATCAGACCTATGTTGGCAAGCGTTCCAGCCGTGTTGTGCGCTCTCTCCAGAGCAGTAAGTAACCGAGCCTGTTTTCAGCCTGAGCTGTTCCTACTCTGTGCCTTCACAGATGACGTGGGTGTGARCAGTAAAGGGTAGAACCTTGTATTGGGACATATCTTGTCAGTCACTGGGCCCACTGTGCGTGGGTGGGGGTATCAAAGCAACCAGAGACATGCTGCAAAGCTAGCACTTAAATTATATTTTTCCAAGTGAGCTGTGCAACAGAGATGGTTATGCTTTGAGGAGCATGGATCTTACAAGTACCTCTCCCTGCTCTGTCCCTTTTGGAGACAAGCTCTGAGCTGGTCAGGCACAGCACTTGCTATGTRTGCAGCTCTTTAGGCTTTCTTGTGTCACACCTTCACAGTGCAGAAAGCAGGGAAACATGATACAAAGGTATCCTGGTTTTGTCTGGGATAGAGTTAGTTTTCTTCCTAGTAAATAGTGCGGTGCTGAGGTTTGAGTTTAGTATGAGAGTAATGTTGATGTTGTAGGTTGTTGAGAAGTAGTGGTTACTCTAAAACAATGACTTTTTAGTTTGCTCGGTTCTGCTAGTGAGGAGATGTGCAAAAAGCTGGGAGGGAGCGTAGTCAGGATGAGTGGCCTTAACTTGCCAAAGGGGTCTTCCATACCATAGAATGTCATGCCCAGTGTATAAACTGGGGGAGTTGGTTGGGAGGGGCCAATCGCTGTTTGGGAATGGGATGGGCATTGGTGGGAGTGGTGAGCAGTTGTATTRTACATAAATTGTATCTCTTGGGTTTTGTTATCTTCCTTTTCATTATTGTTATTGTTGCTGGGTATTTTTATTTTATTTTATTTCAATTATTAAACTGTTTTGTGTCAACCCAGGATTTTTACCTTTTTCTGATTCTTTTCCCCATCCTTCTGGCTAGGGGGCTGAGGGCCTCCAGGGCCTGGTGGAGTGAACTAGCAGTCCTGTGATACTTAGTTTTCAGCTGGGACAAAACTTTTATTTGTGTTAGTGACCAGATCTGCTTGTTTCAGCCCCATCCCTGCAGTCCCGGCACTGGGGCTCCCCCCAGCAGAGGGAGGAGTCGCAGAACCGAAGAGCGGAGGAGATGAACCAGCCTCCCACTCCTCTGGGTCTCCAAGAAACCATCGCAGAATCCCTCTACATTACCCGCCCTCTGCTCCACCGTATCCTGCCCTGGCTGCGTGCCGCGGGTGCCGGCAGAGGGTGCTGCGGGCTGGGCCCAGGTGCAGGGCAGTGCCTCGCCAGCTCTGCTCCCTGCGTAGCTCCACTTGGACACTCGGGACTCCTCCCTTTGGTGGTTGGCCTCAGCCGCTCAGTCCTCCAGCCCTTTTCCCCGGGCCCCCCCAGGCCTGCCTTGAGTGTATTCTCCTGCACTTGGCAGAACTTTGTGGGTACCCAGGGCGTCACTTCTCTGCGTGAGTCTTGTTAAGAATCTCCCATCTTTTCATTCCTTGACTCTGTGTTTCTAGTATTGAGTTTAGGAGTATGGGGCCAGAGATCATGGAAGCCCTGGCTCCTCTCAGCAGTCCTGGACATCTCGAGGTCAGTCTGATGAAGTCTTTTTTGGTGGTTGAGGTTGGTGATGGTTGGGCATTGCACTTTCCCATTCCCCAGTCGTGGGCAGGCTCTACTGAGAGAAATACACACAGGGGCTGGTCTTTAGCTTGGAGATTGACACGTCTTTTGCAACACTTACAGTGTGCTCTCTGTTCTGAGCTGGTCTGCTCTGCGTGGAGCTGAGAGTGKAGGGCTTTAGAAAGCTGCTTTCTTTTCCCTGCTGGCTGCTGTTGCTGTGAGTTAGCTCTCTGCCCTCCTCCTTCCAGTCTGAGCTTGCTGAGTGATCTGAAAGACCTGAACAGGCGAGAGCGGGCGGAGCTGAGGCGACGAACCATCCTACTGCTGTACTACCTGCTGAGATCTCCTTTCTATGACCGATATTCAGAGTAAGGGGCCCTTGCTGGGCTTTTGCTGAATATTTCCCTTTTAACTGAAAGAGCGTCAGGGGACTGGGTGAGTAGATCTGAAGAGGTGCAGGTGCCTGTGACCAGGTTAATCTGTGCCCTTGCGTAACAGCTGCCATTGCTGTTTGTGTGTTCAACGACTGGGGCAGGAGATGTCCAGCTGGACTCGTTCATGYTCTCTTCCTTCCTAGGGGCAGGATYCTCCTCCTTCTGCGCTTGTTGGCTGATTATGTGCCTGGAGTTGGTTTYGTCACACGTAAGTGGGTCCCACTGTTATATCCCCATTTATGTCTGAAGAAAAATGAGGGCTGTTGGAAACATTTATCAATTGGTTTCCAATCCAGGGAAGGAATTGGGAAGTACCTAGAGAGGTTAGCACTAGAGCACCCTGTGTTGATGTTTGAGTCATTTTTAAATGGAGAAGGAAAAGATTCATTGCTTCCTGTATTCATGACAGTAGTAAACCGCTGTGTGCCCTGAGGCTGCAGAGCTTGGTGTCTGCCACCTTGGCCTGTTCTCCTGGGCTTCCTTTCTGCACCTCAGCTTGTGCACCAGGGCCCTACTTKGCAGCCCTGTTCTGAATTCTTTTCCTTGATCCTTAGTCTGCAGTGCAGACACAACTGGTAAATGGGAGCCTGGAAGTATTGAACCAGGCAGGAACTGATTGTAAATCAAAGGGCCGAACCAGGTCTGTTGTCTAGTCCTTCACCAGAGGATTCCTTTATTATARGCCAGCATTTCACTTCCCCCCTCTCCCCCTGATCATGTGAATCCTTTTGTGGAGTAATTCATGGCAGTGATTTGACATTACATCAGCCTGGCGTCATGGGATTGCCCTTTCTTTGGGGAGGTCACAAAGCTGGCTAGCTCAGGAGCCACTTCCTCCAGTTAGTGATTTCAGAGAGGCTTTGGAGCCTGCATTAAGCCATGTGCAACATAAGCATTTTCACTCTACAGCAGRTGCTTCTGTGTTTGCACCTGCTCACTGTTGCTGAGTTGTCTTCCCTCTTCCCTGTCACCGCAGTGTCCTCCTGACTCTCTGCAGGGTTTTCCCCTGGCACATTGTAGACCTACTTTCCCACTGGAGCTTGAACACGTCAGCTCTGAGGGAGTGACTGGTGTCCCACATCATGGCTGTGCTGACCATGTTTCACACCCCTCTTGGTCCTGCTCTGATATCTGGCGCCACATTGCAATGTTGCCTCACATCTTGGCAAAAGTAACTGTTCTATTCTTAGGTTCATCTGAGTTGTGTAAGTGAAGATTTGGGATTGTTTGGATCATAGTTAGAAAGGGGGGGATATACCCCACAGACACACGGCTTCAAATGCTTGCTTTCTACATGTGTGATCTCTCTGTTCTCTTGTTTCAGGGCCACTGATGGATTACTTGCCTGCCTGGCAGAAAATCTATTTCTATAACTGGGGCTGATGAGAAGATGATTATTCTCTGCTAAGATCATGGCTGGACATTTCTAAGGAGGGCAAGCAGGCTGGGGGAGGGATGTTGATAATGTCTAATTTTCAGTTAAATCATAAATGAGAAGCTCCTGTTCTGCAGGGTGGGGAGGGGAGTGTATGTGATTTTTTTTAACAGATCTAGCTGTGAATGATGGACACTAAATGTTTGGGGAGACCCTGGCCACCTATTTCTCTGGACCRTTCTGTGGCTGCAGTGATGGTGATAGGGCAATCTCTTTTTGTAAGCACTTGATTCTTCTTCTTTTGTACAGCTGTGCTATAATAAAGCCAGGCAGCATAATGGAATTTTGGAGAGCATTGTCTCACATCAAGGCACTGAGGTGGACCTGCAACCTGCTTGTGTTGGCTGTACCTGGCCCATCTGCTTGGAGCGKTCTTGCCTGTCGAATAAACTGACTGAATGGAGAGAACTGAGCTGAAGGGCCTCTCCCTCTTTGCACGGGATCCCCTGTGTCTGGTTGCCAGCAGGTCTCTTGCTCTCAGAAAGAGCATCTTTTGCAGTTGTCCATGCTTTGATACGCTGTCCCCTAGAAGCCTTTTGTTCTGGCCTGTGTCCGTCAGGGCCCCACATGTTGCTCAGCTGATGACTACAGCCTCTGCAACTCCCAGTGCCTGCTTCAGTCCCCARATTCCTGGGGTTCTCCTTGGATTACACAGAGCTGCAGTGTGCAGGCTGCTTCCTAGCACCTAATGTTTGTTAAAAGGGTTTGCAGAATGGCTGCCAGCCTGTGCCTGGGGGCTTGGCCAAGGGCAGAGGAGAAGTGATTAATTCAGCAAATGCTGCTGTGCCACATTTAATAAAGAGCYCCAGAGAGAGGCCTGTGGCTCTTACGCTAACTGGGGGACAGTTGAGGCATCAGTCTGCACACTGAGATTCTTTGGTGGCTCCCTGGGTCAGGACAAAGGCTTAGTCAGCTGATGGTACTGGATTGCCCTGCAGGCAGCTTTCTGGGTAGTGCTTGGGAGCTGGAAACTGCCAGGTAAGTGTGCCCCACTCAAGTGTGGGTGATTAGGAACAGGGGTCACAGCCTTCTTGCCTCAGCACCCAGCATTGGGAATGTAGTCCCACACACACATCCCTCGTAGGCCACCATGGTTGGGGACCACAGRACTTTGCCAGGGGGAAGGGTTTGTGTTGCCCCCTCAGCTGGCAAGGCCCTGCAATGTGGCAACAGCAGTCTGGAAAAGCCACAAGCAAGGGACTATGCTCCTTTGCTCAGGCTTTTCACAGAGGAAGATGCTGAGGTGTTGGCTCCTGGGGCAGGGTGGCACTGGGATGAGATGCAAAGGTCTGCTTTTGGAGGTTTTGAGAGGCAGGAAAAAGCAGGTGGTCAGGGACAGGGACAGCCCTGCAGCTGTGGCTGCACAGGACATGCACCAGCACAGCTCTTCAGCTGGCAGGGCCCAGGCAGAGGCAGCCCAGGACCTGAAGGGGACAAGGTAGGGACAGCAGCAATGTTTGGGAGGAGACCTGCCCCACCCAGCAGGTGTCCTGGGCAACCAGGGTGGCTCCGCTGTGACCTCGCTGCGGAACCAGTGGAACYGGTCAGTGTGCACCATGCTGCGCTGCCTGCTGCTGCTCGCCCTGCTGCTGGGGGCTGCCCTCCCAAAGCCTGTGCCCCAGAGGTGACGGTACTTCCCTCCTCCTACTCCTCTTCCTCCCTGCCCTGGTACCTGCAGGTACCCCAGGGCCCCTGACATGGACTGGCACTTGTGGCCAGCCTGGGCAAGCGCTCTATGACCATGCCTCATTCCTGGCCCTGGCTCTCCKCTGTAGCTACTCAGTTCCTGAGGATTTCTCTGCTCCCCTGGAGCTTCCACAGAAGCACTTTGGCCTGGTGGATGGTACAGTGCTCTCTTTGCCCCTCTGAACCCCCTTTCCACACGCTCACCCCTCCAAGTGGGCAGTTGTTCCTGACCCCAGAGCAGCTGAGCCCAGCCTCTGCTGTGTTCACAGATTATGGCATCAAACCTAAGCAGCCTCACTTCAAAACACGTGTGGCCTCGGAGCGGCCGCTGGAGCTGCGCAGAGCTGGCAAAAGCAAGCGCGACGGGCTGGACTTGCTGGAGTATTACGACGATGTGCGCCTGTGAGCCAGCGTGGCCCCGTGCCCACCACAGCCCAGCAGGTGAGGGCAGGAGCAACAGCCTCCACAGGTCCCTTCAGATCATTGTAGCTTCTCTGGCCTCCTGGGATTGCAGCCAGGGCGCTTGGACCAATACTGAGAAGCTTCAGCTCCTCTTGTGGTCCCAAGGGAAAGGCGGAGCCAGGGCCCAAATGCCCTGCAGTGGGAAACAAACAGCACAGTAGCTCTGCTCCATGAACCATCATATTTAATAGTTGTTGCCATCACAGCAGATCCAGCTGAAGCACAGAGACCACTGGCTGCAGGGATAGGCAGAGCTTTTTTACCTCCCTGGTGCTTCGCACRGCTCCCTGCAGCCTTTAGCCCTTCCCTGCCCCACTCTGGGCAGACACCCAGCTCTGTACGGGGCTGAGCCCCACTGACCTGGAGTGCTCCAGCCCTGCCTCTGCCACCTGCAGCTTGGGGGAGAGGGGAAAAGGGCAGAAAAAGGCTTCCCTCCCGAGGGTATAGTTACTGCAGGGAGGTATGAGAGGGATTTTTCTCTCTCCCCAGGGCAGGGGTAGGGTGGGGGTGGGGACAGAGGCAGGGGAAAGCTGTCTGATCTCATTTTGGCTCTGGCAGAGGAGATACAGGGGCTTCCTCTGTCATCCCTGTCCAGCAGCCATCTCCCCAGTGCCTGGCAGGGAGGTGATCCCATCTCCCAGGCAGGAGCCAACATCTGGGTCATTTTCTGTAGCTGCTGTGTCATCATACTACAAGAGACTGACTCTGCCACTGCAATTAAAAGTCACCCCAGATGGATGTGACGGGAAGCTGTGCCATGGTCACAAGGAGGAGATGCTGTCACCCCAGCCTGCAGCTGGAAAGGGCACGAGCACGCTACTGCCCCCCACAACTGCTCACAAGCAGGGCACCCAGTGGGTGCTTCTCCAATAGAATAAACTAAGAGTATTTTGTACAATAAACACAATTTGTCCAGCCCTCCCCCCTCCCGTCCCCCCAGCCCGAGGAAGGGGAGTCACGAAAAGAGGCGGCGCTCCRTGCCCTGGGGAGCCCTGCCCCGGGGCCCGCTCCTCCTCCAGGCTCAAAGCAGCTCTTGTCCATGCACGACACGGGGAAGGGGCGAGACTGCAGCCCTGGCTGTGCAGGAGGTGCCTATGCCAGCCCCTACTCCAGGTAGATATCCTCTGTGGGGCACGTGTACTCCACATACTCCTTGTAGAATTGCTGAAAAGCCCTCCTGCAACACAGCACCAGGCAAAGCTTAGCAGCAGCCTCCCCAAAAGGCAGGTACAGATCCCCATTCCCATCTTGACCCTCACTGCCTCCCCTGTGGCCTGTTTGACCCGCCACCCCCTGGCCCCTCCTGCATGAGCCCCCAGAGTGCCATCAGAGCCACAGGGCCTCCCTCCTTGCCCTGATTCCCTGCACAGTGCATGACTTTCAGCCATCTGCCTACAAAGCCTTGCACTGGGACTTGTTCCAGTAACTGTCAGGAATATGATGCCCATAGCCCTGTCAGCCCTGGCTCTCATGCCAAGCATCTCACTTGAGGGAAGAGGTGCCAACCTGGGGCCAGGTCCAAGCCCCACACGTAGGGAAAGGTGACAAGGTTYAGCCTGGGTGCCTTGTTCCTCCTGCCCTTTATGAGCCAGCATTCCCTGCCCAGCCAGGACTCACCCTACAGACTCTGCCAGTGGCTTCGTGGACTCCTCCGAGACGAAGACATGACAGGCAAATCTGTGGTCAGCAGGGTGCTTGGTGATGAACCCAAAATATCTGCAGGCAAAGAGAGTGSGTGTGACTGGACCAGCAGACCAGATATCAGACTCCAGCATCCCTGAGGTGTACCCACCATTAAGCTTAGGGGTTTGGGACCTGAAACACCCCTGATAAATCCTGGTGGCACATTCACAGGAGGGGTCATGCCACAGCCCATGTCCAGAGCTGCAGCACTGGGCTCACAGGGGAAGAGGAGCCCTCAGAACTGGGGTTCTGGGAAACCTCCTCTTTCCTTCCTAGCTCCAGTTGCGCTACCCCCAGGGARCAGGAAGGCAGCAAAGCCTCTCTGCTGAGCTACTGGTGTTGAGAGCTGCAGCACCCTTCCTTGTTACTCACTTGTTGTTCTTTGGATGGTACCCACAAAAGGAAATGTTCTTCAGCTGGAAAAAATGGCTACACTTGTTTACCTGGGGGAGAGAGAGAGAGGGGAACTGTCAAAGCTTTTCTCCCTACTCCCTGCAGTGCAGCTGGTCTCTGGCTGCTGGAAATATGCGCTTGGAGACTGAGGAGTGAAATGAATTGGAGCCTAATCCTGGGCTGCTATCGGCAGCAGTTTCAGGATTGCTCCAAGCACCTGAACAAAGGGAGCTTTTCCAGGCAGCTCTGCTGGCTCTCACCCCAGCTGCCTTTACTGCCAGTAGCTCCTGCAGGATTTCCCTGGAGGCCCTGAGTCAGACTGTACTCAGGCTAGAGTCAGTACTGCTGTTCAGCAGCCTACACAGCCCTCCTTCTTGGTAAAAAGACTCTCAGAAACACCAGCAGATAGAAGAAGAATGGATAACTTAGAACCAAACAAGTCATTGAAAGGGTGTCAAAGGGTCCCAACCAAAAAAGACTTATTTATACAAGTCTAAAGCGCAGCTAAGTTGATGGCATCCTCTAGATACAGGCAAAACTTGTGGAAACCTCAGGCCAGCTCTGTCACAGCATGCAGAGCCATGAACCWCTCCTATCCTCCAGCTGGAAGGGAGGTTTCCCAACAGCTTGCTGCAAAGCCCCACTTGCCTTTGCTAGCATCCCAACGTGCTTTACCAGGCTATTTATGCARAATGCTAATCAGCAGCCTGCCCTCACCAGATAAAGAGATTACAGGGCCAATCTGGAGGACACCACTCAAAATAGTAGCAGAAAGGTTTAGAAGCTGCTGACAGATTACTGGGTATGGCTCAGCTCACAGCACCCCAGCGCAGTGATGTACTTGGCAGCTGTGAGAGCATCAGCTGGTAGTACTGCCCAGAGCTGGGGCCTTGTGAGGCACGGGGGACCCTGATGGTGAGCCTAAAACCCTGATGATGGAGTTTCTCACAGCCTCAGATGTGGGATGGAGACCCTTAACTTCTATAGGCAAATGTGGCCAGAGGGCACGGAGCCAGCTCAGAGCAGCAATCAGGGAAGGGATGAGCTGAGCAGGGAGCAGGGCACTACCTTGCTGTGCTCCTTGGAGTCGTCAGCTTTCACAGCAATCTTGACCCCRCGCACGCTGATCTCCAGGACGCAGCTGGAGGGCGGGTTAAAGTGCACAGTGAGGCGGCGCGTGGTGGCAATCTGCRGAATGAGAAAGAGAGACAAAGCTGTGGGACGTGTGAGCAGTGATGATGGCTCACCCCCTCCCTTCCCCACTGAGGCTCTGCMCTGCTGCCAGAAGGAGCAGGTGCTCCTGCTCCTTGGGATGGTGTGAGACACTACCTTCTGCATGGCCGCACAGAGCACGTCATTGCCCTTGTGATAGGGAACCTGCACGGAGCCAAGGAACTTCACCCGGAACTGGTCCACCCAGTCGCTGCTCTTGGTCAGTGCTGGGAGAGAGAGAACATGGCAGGGATCATCTCCGGTGACCAGGTATGTGCACTGAGCTCCCATCTTCCAACCCCTGCCCAGGAAAAGCTTCCCTCAACACCAGATACCAACATAGTAGAAGCTGCCCATTGCTCCCTGCTGCATGCCCAGCTTGGTCGTCCCCCCAGCGCCCTGCTCAGCGCCAGACTCAGCTCAGCAGTACAAGATGGGGCCATCAGCAGGCTGCAGGCAGAGCAGGTACCTGCTAGGTGGTCTGGGTCCTTGGTGACTTCAATAGCATAGTAGGCAGGAAAGATGCCCCGATCTCCTGTACGCATGTTGTAGGCCTCATACCAATAATCTTCCGCCTGCACCTCCACCAGCAAAGGATCATCCACCTCCAGCTCCAGCTCGTCTGCGTGGCGAGGCACAAACCTGGGCAGAGAGGCACTAGCAGATGGCTGGCTAGCAGTGCTGGTGGCCTTCTCACTGGCACCCAGCACCAACCCAGGCAGCGCCTYGGGGACCTGACACGCTGAATAAAGCACTGGAGGAGATTTGGGCTCAACAGGCAGCAGCATCCTGGCACCCAATGCAAGGRTATCCCCTATTGCACCACCCATGCTGCTCCTGACTGCCCTCAGAGGTCTTGCCCATGCAGCAGCCAGGGCAAGATATCACTACTGGGCAGGACACGAGCTACGGGAAGTGGTTTGTTCCCCAGGGATTCCCATACTGGAAACACTGGGGCTTCTGCCAGCCCCACCTYGGTGGGAGTGCAGCACCAGCTTTCCCCTGTGAGAAGCTGGGGACACTGCCTGTCCCTGCAAACTCACCTAAAGACAGCACGGTGAGTCTGCTCCTGCTCCTCCCCGTTGATCATGCAGGAGAACAACCCAAAGGACTCGGCACCTGGGGACAAAGGCAGAGGACAAGTGAGCACTGAGGGATCAGTATCGCAGCCAAGAGAAGGACATGGGCCAGCTAGCCTGCTGAGGGTCCTGCAGGATGGCTCAGCCAAGACAAGGCCACGCAAGGCCACAGGACAGAGAGGTTTGGCTGGAGCAGCTGTGCCGGTGCCATCAGCCCCTGCTGGGAACCAGACCTCCCTGCAGCAACACACAGCTGTGACAGCTGGTGTCACCAGCTGAATGGGACCAGCCACATGGTGGGAAACCCTGTCTGCCAGAGCATGCCACCAGCCCTGGTGCTCTTCTGGGCTTGGGGAGGAGTGTGGCATGCCAAGAGTATGCTGTCCCTCTGTAAGCCACTCAGCCTCCCCTCAGCATGGCCATCCCTTGGGCAAGCCAAATGAGCAGCCTCAAACACCTACTGCCCCCCCACCTGGCACCCAAAAAGCTTTTCCAAGCTCCCCCATGCCTCCTGGACCACCAGGGACAAAGTCACAGGCTGTAGCAAGCAGAACTGGGGMTCACGTCTGCTAGTGGCTTCCCAGCATGTAGCAGGGACAGGAAGGGCTGCCCAGGCAGGCGGCCACCAGCCCACCTCCCCSCAGTGCCCAGCACTCACTGGAGGAGCGGGCCCGACCACTCATGAAGACATTGAGGAACTTCTTGGAGAAGTGGATGTCTGCCTCGGGGGTGGAGTCCTCAGAGAGGCAGACCGAGTCTCGCTTCAGCGCATCCTCCTCGTACTCCTCACCAATGGCCGACTCATAGGGTGAGGAGATGCAATTGTCGTAGACCGTGGCCGAGTCACTCTCGTCACTGTAGCCCGAGTAGCACTGCTTGAGGCTGACCAGCTCCAGCTGCACATTCTCATCCACCACMAGAGTGTATTTGACCGAGTCATAGGAGAGGGCACTGGTGTCTGAACTCACTGAGGCTCTCTGAAGATTGTGCCCTGGCCGGGAGCCACCACTGCCACCACCACAGGAGGCCCTGGGCAGGTTTGTCTTGTCAGGGGAGGACATATAGTCCAGCACCTCGTCCTCCTCGCTGATGGAGGGGTTGGTTTTCCCTGCCAGGGCCGAATAGCTGGAGGTGTCAATGTCAGAGCTGATGGACATGCGRTTTTCACTGGACTGAGACAGGAACGGCTTGTCATTCTCCAGGGGGTCYGAGTTCTTCTGCACGGGTGTCAGGTAGATCTCCTCTGTGGCCTCCAGCCTCACGTCCGTCTGGTAGCGGATGCGGTCCCGGTGGGCCTCGGGGCCCCTCGTTACCACCACGACACTGGCACCGTGTGGTGGGGCCCGGCTGGTGGCCTGGTGCTTCTCC